CTATTTCTGTACTTGAAAGTACTTGCTTACATACTTCTTTATCTATTCCTCTAAAAGTAGACTTACTGGAATCTATCCACAATTGATATAATCTGAGATAAAGGTAACTTTCTCAGTTATTCCCAATAAGGGGATAACAATAGAAATTCTCATCACATATCTGTTCCACTCACGCTACAACCACATTTGCAAAGAAAAAGTTATAAAGGATAGCAAGATGACACAGAACTCTGAAAAAGGACCGTTCTTACCAAACCCCAAACCTTGTTTTTTATTGCCCTCATATTTATTCCACCTTCCCAATAATATTTTCGAGTATTTTTTCAATGTTAAACTCTTCAAATCGGACCTGTGTAGAATCATAAAAATATTTTGAATAGATAAACAATGAAGATATTCAAGATTCAATCAATAAATAAAATAAAACGTGCACGAATATGCATTTATTTTACACATTCGTACAAGATAGAAGGTCTTTATGGAAGTACAGTATATCACTCATCAGCAATAATTAAATGCGCGGTATTTCTTCCTAGAATGGATCCCTTGAAAATTAGGATTCCTGTTTTCCTTATGGAAAATTTCAGCCTTTAAATAGGAGGCTCCAAATGAGCAAAATGAAGCCCTATCTGTGCGAAGTTTCACAACACAATTTTTTTACTGTTTTTTTTTTTTTTTTTACATGAGTTATTAAGTGAACGGACGGAAAACTTTGCGGATTGCATTTTCTCGCTTTAGGTATGTTTATTCACGTTATGAAAACTTCAAAAACCTAACTTTCAAGTAAGGTTATCCGTTCGCAAATTCTTTGAAAAAATGAGCGACGTTGTTCCAGAAAGCTCTTCGAATGACTCAAATTGTCGATACGCCGATATACATTCAACAGGCAGATATAATTGTGGAAGGAAATATCGATGTGGTCAGGATCGTGGAAAGTTTCATCGTAATATGTCGTTAGTAGTGATTGAAAATAATGTGTAGAAGTGCCTGATATCACATGCGTATACAATAATATAAATGTTTTTCGCCTCATAAGGTTTCGCATCAGCTCACGCTGACTAAACGAAACTAGAAGATTTCTAAAATTCGATTTCATTCGATCGCTGATGAGGAGAGTTATACGAATTTCATCAAGAATTTCCGAATGCTGCTGCTGAGGTAAAAAGATGTGCATTCTGAAGTTCCTTCGAAAGGATTCCAAAGAATGCATTCGACAATAACAAATCCAATCAAAATCGCAGAAGGCAGTATATACGTGAGGCATTTATTTGGCCACGAAAGAATCGCACCGTGGAATTCCATCACGCCGATGGCAGGCTAGTTGCACATGTGATCTGGAGATTCAAAGTCTGGGTACCAATAACAGAATATAACAAGAGCCACATGTCGCGAAACATCGAGTCAAATATAAGCGTCCCTCAAGATGGACGGAGTATATAGAAGCAGCAGCTCTGCAAATCATTGAGCTGCTAAAACGACGCTTTGACTCGATCCGCATGCAAAGAAGCCGAAAGTAGCAAAGGCGTCTTCTCGCCGTCCATTTCAACTTTTGCTAAATTGGGACCGACGCTTTCGTCTGCTGCCGATTTTCTGCACCGACGCACGGCTTCCACGCCACCGACGAGACCAGCCTGAAAAACACGGGTTATTTTGATACCGTCAGTATAGTCAGACCGGATTATTTTTGCACGACGACACACGTCAGGCAAGCTCAACGATTTATCGGAAAATCGTTCAAATATTTCCTGGTTGATTTTCTTCCAGAGTGACTTTCATTTATCCATGTTCTCAATGCATTTTCTTGCGGCGGCTGTGAAAAGGCGGCTTTTGAGGAAAATGGCGGAATTACCTTGGAAGACCTGGAGACAACCCTTGGAATTAATGCCAGGTTGAATTCAAAAATTCTGAGGGGTAAGCTGAACTATAAAAAAAAAATAACCTGCAGGAAGGGCGCCTCATCTGTTGAGTGAAGAGAAAAACTCTGCTAGGGGAAATTTTGCAAAGCATTAGAAAAAATTGTCAAACATCAGGGCTGATTTTTTTTGGTGCCAAAGAATACGTTTTCCCTGAAGAATTATATTTTCAGCTCCATTATATGCCATTTCCAATTATATTCCAAGAACTTTTGTTAGAACCCTCGTATTAGGATACTGTAATTAGGAACAACAAAATGCTGGAATCACGTTTTAGACGTGGATAACGATTCGTAGCTGGATTGCTAGAAAAGATACTCCATCCCCGGAAAATCTTCGAATCTAATTGATCATAAATCGAAAGAAGATTATCGATATGGACAATCTAGAATGGACAGGTTGCCCCGTTATAACAGATGTTCATCATCGCACACAGATGCTAAACATGTGGTGAAATTCCTTCGTGAGTCTCAGAGAACATCAATCTCCTTAATTGAATCGGCAACCCGGGATCGAATTCCATTCAAATATAGCGGAAAACGGGGTAAACTTACCATTCGGGTTCTCCGGGGTGAATGGGTTGGGTGGATTAGGAAAAATAAATATACTGTATACATATAATTTAACCCATGTCAATGGGTAAGCTATATTTATGCAATGATCGCTGTTCGACTTTTCTGCGCTAATCGTAGAGTCGTAGCTTATTTGGGATTAGTTTTTACGTCAGTGTGAGGATCTACGACGTTGATTAACGACCTTGCGTTATGCCTCTATTCAATATAACTGTATGTGTACAGTATTTATGAATGAAATGGTTCGTCAGGTGGTCACGAGTGTTTGTGACGGGTTTTCTTGTTTGAATGGCGTTCATTACGACAGTCGTGGTTTCAATGACATAATGTCACCTCATAATTTACGTTTGTAAATGCAATATCGCATTTGCGTTCGGCATGTTTCTGCAAAGTGTATAAAGATATAAGACGTGGTATTAAACTGCGTATAGCGTTTATGGCGTCATCTCAATTTCAAAACACCACGTTTGAAAATTTTTAGATTTCAAAAGCATGTTTGTTTACAATTTTCATATTTGTTGGAAGAAATACTACAGCATTTATACGCGTTGGAGTGCAGCATTCATCTCCAAATTAAATTTTTAAAAAAGCCACGATTAAGTTATTTTGAATTTAACTGACCCTGCGTCGATCTGAGATTCTACAGGGAATGATATTGAGCATAAATTACAATGTGCACAAAACTGATCTTGAGATAATAATACTGTACTGTTGCCAGAACTAGTTAATTTAGATGTTTCACAATCCTTAATTTAGATGTCTCCAAACCTTTGATTGCCTAAACTTACCGTTGCAAGTTTGTCTTAACTAACTCCAACAATTTATTGTGAGGAGATTTTCTCATTCCTTTTGCCAGGATTGATAAATTCACAACTCCTCAAAGTATAAAATAGTAAGGCAGCTTTATTTTGTGTTCAACAGCAGAAACGTATTCAGACAGTGTCCAGAGAACAATGAGCGTGGGAGACAGCAAATACAGGTGACTATATAGACTTGGTTGGCCAGTATGTCGCAATGGTGGTCAGACCCGGATCTGACCTATAGTTTGGCGAGGGTTGTGTAACCCTCTGCGCGTTACTCGGTGGCGCATCATGCAGCAAGGACGTGAGACAGAATATTGCGATGCAGCTGTTTGAAGCGTCGTCTGCTAGGTTAAAGGGAACAACCAAAAGTATTCATGACAGTACTGTAATCCCATACACTAAGGAATTTGAGAGAGCAGCTCAGGAAAATATTCATGCGTAGCCTCATTGATTGCAGCACCTGGAATACTGTCCATTTCTTTCCTCACATTTTCTTGACTTTCTTGACGCGGTATTTTATTTTGAAGCCGGGGAGTTTAGATTATATCACTCGATCCTTGAAGATGATTGTCTGTGTCGTTTCTAATCGTCCAATTTTCCCTCACCCGAGTTTTCTGCCTGAACTGTTTTATCGGCGAAACGTTTGCACCCTGCTTCTTCAGATTCCGGATAAGTACTCGTCGATATCCTGAATATATCTGTGACAGAGTACTTGAAAAAAGTACAGGAACCTTACTTGTCCACAGAATCCATGAAAGGGAGTCGAATCTTTGTCTTCCAAGAGCAGGCTTTTCTTAGAAAGACGGAACCTTTTCCCAACAAATGATCTGACTATGTTGTTCATATCTGTCTTGTCTGAATAATTGAGCTTGAAAAAGTGCACTTCGCGGGAATGGTAAGCTTTTTCCCCCTTCTTGTTACAGCTAAAGAATATGCCTCTGAAAATGAATCGCAGGTGTTTCTAAGAGCACAAAATAAATTGATACCCGTTTTCAAGGTCTAGGTCGGATCTGGTAGGCATAATGATATTATGCTTAAACAAATTTAGTAGATTAAAAAATTAATCTAAAAAACCACGTTTTCAAAAAACCCATTCCTTTGGTAAAGTTCAAGTACAGTAATTTAAAATTAAATGAGCTAGCAAGCTGCTTAACTGCTTGCTCACTTTGTGCATCTTTGGTCCTGTGGTAATTTAATAGCAAAGATATCAGTCTCATATAAGTGTGGAAGGAAATATCAATGTGGTCAGATCGTGGAAATTTTCATCGTAATATGTCGTTAGTAGTGATTAAGTGCCTGATGGTACATGCCCACAATATTGTTGTGTGCCCAATAAGGTATTGCATCAGCTCACGCTGACTAAACGAAACTAGAAGATCTCTAAAATTCGATTTCATTCGATCGCTGATGAGGAGAGTTTTACGAATTTAATCGAGAATTTTCGAATGCTGCTGCTGAGGTAAAAAGATGTATATTCCGAAGTTCTTCCGAAGGGTCCCAAAGAATTCAATCGACAATAACAAATCCAATGGAAATCGCAGCAGGCAGTATACGTGAGGCATTTATTTGGCCACGAAAGAATCGCACCGTGGAATTCCATCACGCCGATGACAGGCAAGTTGCACATGTGATCTGGAGATTCAAAGTCTGGGTACCAATAACAGAATAGAACAAGAGCCACATGTCGCGAAACATCGAGTCAAATATAAGCGTCTCTCAAGATGGACGGAGTATAGAAGCAACAGCTCTGCAAATCATTGGGCTGCTAAAACGACGCTTTGACTCGATCCGCATGCAAAGAAGCCGAAAGTAGCAAAGGCGTCTTCTCGCCGTCCATTTCAATTTTTGCTAAATTGGGATCGACGCTTTCGTCTACTGCCGATACAAGATGGACGGAGTATATAGAAGCAGCAGCTCTGCAAATCATTGAGCTGCTAAAACGACGCTTTGACTCGATCCGCATGCAAAGAAGCCGAAAGTAGCAAAGGCGTCTTCTCGCCGTCCATTTCAATCTTTGCTAAATTGGGACCGACGCTTTCGTCTGCTGCCGATTTTCTGCACCGACGCACGGCTTCCACGCCACCGACGAGACCAGCCTGAAAAACACGGGTTATTTTGATACCGTCAGTATAGTCAGACAGGATTATTTTTGCACGACGACACACGTCAGGCAAGCTCAACGATTTATCGGAAAATCGTTCAAATAATTTCCTGGTTGATTTTCTTCCAGAGCGACTTTCATTTATCCATGTTCTCAATGCATTTTCTTGCGGCGGCTGTGGAAAGGCGGCTTTTGAGGAAAATGGCGGAATTGCCTTGGAAGACCTGGAGGCAACCCTTGGAATTAATGCCAGGTTGATTTCAAAAATTCTGAGGGGTAAGCTGAACTATAAAAAAAATAAACTGCAGGAAGGGCGCCTCATCTGTTGAGTGAAGAGAAAAACTCTGCTAGGTGAAATTTTGCAAAGCATTAGAAAAAATTGTCAAACATCAGGGCTGATTTTTTTTTGGTGCCAAAGAATACATTTTCCCTAAAGAATAATATTTTCAGCTCCATTATATGCCATTTTCATTTATATTCCGAGAACTTTTGTTAGAACCCTCGTATTAGGATACTGCACAGTAATTAGGAACAACAAAATGCTGGAATCACGTTTTAGACGTGGATAACGATTCGTAGCTGGATTGCTAGATAAGATACTCCATCCCCGGAAAATCTTCGAATCTAATTGATCATAAATCGAAAGAAGATTATCGATATGGACAATCTAGAATGGACAGGTTGCCCCGTTATAACAGATGTTCCTCATCGCACACAGATGCTAAACATGTGGTGAAATTCCTTCGTGAGTCTCAGAGAACATCAATCTCCTTAATTGAATCGGCAACCCGGGATCGAATTCCATTCAAATATAGCGGAAAACGAGGTAAAATTACCATTCGGGTTCTCCGGGGTGAATGGGTTGAGTGGACTAGGAAAAATTATACTTATGCACTGATCGCTGTTCGACTTTTCTGCGCTAATCGTTGAGTCGTAGCTTTGGGATTAGTTTTTACGTCAGTGTGAGGATCTACGACGTTGATTAACGACCTTGCGTTGTGTGGGAGGAGAAACCTATGCTGGAAAAATAATATGCCTCTATTCAATATAACTTTATGTGTACAGTATTTATGAATGAAATGGTTCGTCAGGTGGTCACGAGTGTTTGTGACGGGTTTTCTTGTTTGAATGGCGTTCATTACGACAGTCGTGGTTTCAATGACATAATGTCACCTCATAATTTACGTTTGTAAATGCAATATCGCATTTGCGTTCGGCATGTTTCTGCAAAGTGTATAAAGATATAAGACGTGGTATTAAACTGCGTATAGCGTTTATGGCGTCATCTCAATTTCAAAACACCACGTTTGAAAATTTTTAGATTTCAAAAGCATGTTTGTTTACAATTTTCATATTTGTTGGAAGAAATACTACAGCATATATACGCGTTGGAGTGCAGCATTCATCTCCAAATTAAATTTTTAAAAAAGCCACGATTAAGTTATTTTGAATTTAACTGACCCTGCGTCGATCTGAGATTCTACAGGGAATGATATTGAGCATAAATTACAATGTGCACAAAACTGATCTTGAGATAATAATACTGTACTGTTGCCAGAACTAGTTAATTTAGATGTTTCACAATCCTTAATTTAGATGTCTCCAAACCTTTGATTGCCTAAACTTACCGTTGCAAGTTTGTCTTAACTAACTCCAACAATTTATTGTGAGGAGATTTTCTCATTCCTTTTGCCAGGATTGATAAATTCACAACTCCTCAAAGTATAAAATAGTAAGGCAGCTTTATTTTGTGTTCAACAGCAGAAACGTATTCAGACAGTGTCCAGAGAACAATGAGCGTGGGAGACAGCAAATACAGGTGACTATATAGACTTGGTTGGCCAGTATGTCGCAATGGTGGTCAGACCCGGATCTGACCTATAGTTTGGCGAGGGTTGTGTAACCCTCTGCGCGTTACTCGGTGGCGCATCATGCAGCAAGGACGTGAGACAGAATATTGCGATGCAGCTGTTTGAAGCGTCGTCTGCTAGGTTAAAGGGAACAACCAAAAGTATTCATGACAGTACTGTAATCCCATACACTAAGGAATTTGAGAGAGCAGCTCAGGAAAATATTCATGCGTAGCCTCATTGATTGCAGCACCTGGAATACTGTCCATTTCTTTCCTCACATTTTCTTGACTTTCTTGACGCGGTATTTTATTTTGAAGCCGGGGAGTTTAGATTATATCACTCGATCCTTGAAGATGATTGTCTGTGTCGTTTCTAATCGTCCAATTTTCCCTCACCCGAGTTTTCTGCCTGAACTGTTTTATCGGCGAAACGTTTGCACCCTGCTTCTTCAGATTCCGGATAAGTACTCGTCGATATCCTGAATATATCTGTGACAGAGTACTTGAAAAAAGTACAGGAACCTTACTTGTCCACAGAATCCATGAAAGGGAGTCGAATCTTTGTCTTCCAAGAGCAGGCTTTTCTTAGAAAGACGGAACCTTTTCCCAACAAATGATCTGACTATGTTGTTCATATCTGTCTTGTCTGAATAATTGAGCTTGAAAAAGTGCACTTCGCGGGAATGGTAAGCTTTTTCCCCCTTCTTGTTACAGCTAAAGAATATGCCTCTGAAAATGAATCGCAGGTGTTTCTAAGAGCACAAAATAAATTGATACCCGTTTTCAAGGTCTAGGTCGGATCTGGTAGGCATAATGATATTATGCTTAAACAAATTTAGTAGATTAAAAANGAGCAAAATTTGAGTTGCAAAATTTGATCCGGACAAACAAACGGACAAGAAAGTGAGTTAATAAAAACGTGTTAAATTAAAAATATATAAAAACACTGGAATGAGATTGGATAAAGATTATAGAATCTCGAACTACTGTAGAACAAAAACACAACAGAACCTGGTTTTCATAAAAGACCGAAAACGAGACCTAGGTTCCAGTATATTTTATCCTCAAGGCCTCAACACAGATGGAGCCGTCCAAAAATGTATCCAACCAAAGTCGGATAACAAAGGACGACAGGACATCTTGTACCCAGATATTTCTATGTATAGTTTGACTTTGCTGCCTTTTGAGACATAGAACTTGGCTTCAGAGTGTTCTGCTGGGAAATTGCAGACCGATTTCGATAGAAACCCGTACTGTAATGGAAATACAAGTTGAAAATCACTTCAATACACGATCAACTAATGTCCAAGTCCAAATTTGGGTTCAATTATTATTTTTTTTCAACTTGCAGTTTCAGGCATTTAGAGTCACTAAAAATCGGGTGCTCTCCTGACTTGGGGATCACATATTATAAAAATTTTCAACTTGAAAACCCTGATGTGCGTCTAACTCAAGGATACGTGGTACAGTACGAAGTACAGTATAAATACGGTTTTAAACCAGCAGTCACCCTCAGATATGTCTAATTATTTGCTTCACAGACCCCACCTCGAGGATTTGTTCGATAAATTAAGCCAAGTTCAAATGCCAAATGTTGATGCTCATTGAGAACGAGTATCTCACCGGCATATATCAATTTTCTTCCACCACAAACCGCAGGACAAACAAATACCTTAAACTCAATTTAATATCGGATTGTATACTCACAGAAGAAAGGCAGAGCAACCCAAAGATGCTGGCGGACCAAGGATATTGCACATTCTCCAGCATGACTCCTCCAACAGCTGGTCCAATGAACTCCCTGCAAAAAAAAAAAAAATGCAATGTCTATTTTATAACGAATCCATACACAGTACAGTATATTCACCCAAACTTATATATGCGAAGCGTATGTGATGTCATAATCGAAACAAATGAAGCCTTTGCCGATATATCCCCCCCCCCCCCTCCTCAGAAAATATTCTAGAAATCAAGAGTTCCAGACAAAGTTTTCAAAACTCACCCGAACGAATAAGCCGATTGCCAGATACCGGCGACTGAGGAGTACATCGCAATGTTCACAGCATCGTCTTCATCTTGCGGACTTCCAAGGTGTAAGATGAAATGAGGAGTGAAAAGAGAACAAATTTAAATCAATGTTAGCAGCAGAAGAATTCGAAATTTTGTAAGGCTGCTTCTTATCCGCAATTTATCAAATGTAGTTTTCATATTTCACAGAAAAACGTCGCGTTAATCCTCTGACAGGGATAGTAATGAAAAATTAAGAAGTCTGAGTGAATCAGGTAAGCCTTGGAAAATTGATTTCGAAGTATGCAAACTCTTCATCAGTACAGTATACAAAGAGCTGCCTGTGTACGAGATATGCTTTAGATTCATTATTTTTCTTTCGATCGTTGAATGCTCAATTAATTTTGAAAAACCCCCAAAAGAATCTCCCTGACAGTTGAAAGTCCAATTCACGGGTAGCGGAAATGAATACGAAAAGCATTTCATACGAATACGAAAATTGCATTTCAAATGCAAATTTTGGCAGTCGAAAATCTGCTGAATGGATTTTAAATTTTTACAGTAAGATTATTGACCATCATTCACCAAATCTGTCGAATGTATTCGTATTTCAAAATGCTTGGTCTCTGTGCGAATCTTCGAGAGGTGGCCTCGGATGAGAGGACATGCCTATTTTAATTGGCACTTATATCTAGCTTTGATGAAAAAAAAACTGGTTTTATTAATCTTGGTGCATTGAGAGGTTAAATACAATGCTAACCCAAGCAGTTGTATGAACAAATATTTGAAAATAAAATGAGAATTTGCATTATTTTATGATCATTCCACAGTGATCCACGCAAGATTCTGACTCAGTAACCACAGACAGAAATTCGAAGGTAACTGCACATAGTGTTCGTAAATCAGTTGAACCATGTACCTCACGCTGTCTTCCAGCACAAATAAAAAGTGGACTCCAACTCATTGAATCAGTGCCATCAGCACTGCTCTCAGTAGATTTTGGCTGGAAGCGCAAATGGACGCACACGAGCGATTGGCCTTTCAAGCCTTGCCAGTTCTTTTATTTATTTTTAATTTTTTTTTTAACAAAGCTAAACATAAGTGACGATCGAAATAGGCATGTCCTCTCATCCGAGGCCACCTCTCGCAGAAGACTCGCGAATAATCGATCCTGCTGCAGATTCGCCGGAACACGGAGATAATTAAATACTTCCGCGCAACTCGCGGGAGAGAATTTAATTTCCTCCTTCCCTCGGCGCAGCAGGAATAATAAGAGAAAGCCACCTACGGATGTCAAGCACAGCTGATGACATCTATACGCACCCATAGGAATCGAACAATATGGCGAATGTCGGGATGAGTGCGAAGGCGAACGAGAAGCCCATCAGCGTGAGAGCGATTCCATTCAACCATATGGTGCTGCAAGGAAAAGGCAATTTTCCGGCTCATGGCTCTCTCCAGAATGAATCTGGTTTTCGCGATATCCGAAAGAAAGGTTAATTAGGGAAAAAGCCAACTTCCGGCGTAATTTATCTCGTTCGTATTACAAGCGGTTTTTCTTAACGAAAAGGTATTCCATGTTGACGAAGGCCGTCCCATGTGGAGGCGACCTCTGGTATTTTTTCAAGTAGGCGTAAATGTGAGAAATATATGTACTGTACAGTATATCATATAGCCCATGATGCCGTATATAATGATTTACCAGATATCACATTCAAAACGTAAAATGATTCGTACCTGTTGTTCCTTGCATTTAAAAACTGCGAATGAACCTTGAACTTAAAAAAATTAGTGATATACTGAAACATTGAACCTCATCCTCGAGATTAAATCTTGAAACACGTATTGTGTGATCAAGAGAATATGCTCTTGTTTATCACCTAACTAAAATAGGAAATGCTGTCAATCTCGAATTACATATTCCGTACGAATGCTTGCGGTTTTTTCAATAGAGATAAAACACATAGGCGATAAATGTCGGCTTTCTCGATAAACTGATTCAACCAAACTGTGACCAATCCAAAAGCAAGCAAAACAAAATTCGTAAAGAACATTCCGCAATCTGAAAAACATTTAAACGCGTAACTTGCGACCAACATTTATTCGTAGATTTCTTCTGAAGTTATCAATATACGAAGGTCGAGACGCGTATCGAATGTTGAACAATTTTTTTATGAAAAAGTTGACATTGCACAATTCTGGGAGTAAACTGAACTTGTCATCACCAGACAGAATCTTGAATGCAGCAAACGGAGCTAAATCAATAGCCAACCCCGAAGTGAGTCTCCCGTGTCTTCCCTCCCAGAAATTGACCAACACGAGGGGCATAAGCAAAGTTCTTCGGATAGAAATTGAAATGGCACATGACAGAGCTGGGGGAAAAATTCAGAAAAATTCTTTGGTATGAGAAAAAATGCAGCCCTGTCTTAAATATCTAGCGGAATTTCATGTGTAAAACTACCCTTGGCAACTTTCTGCTCTTCAGTCTCCCCTTTAAAGATTAGCCGCCTTCAAAGCAGCCAAATTCTCATCCCAAGAGGCAGCTGATGATGAAAATTGAAGAATTACCTTGACAGACCTAGTCTGTATAGCCAAGACACAAGGGTCAGCTAGTCTAGCAGGTGGGTGAGTAAATCTGCAAATTTTGCGAAGTCCATGTCCACTCTGATGAAGACAGATAGGAAGTTCTTCTTGGTTCAGACCATACAATTTGGTATTTTGGGTGAGCAAGTAAAGATGCTGTAAGAAAACCTTTTGCCATTTTGGGGTTCCCATGTAAGTATCATGAGCTACTGGGATAGTATGAATTTTTGACAATTCAAACACATCAGTAACCTTGATAATAGGTACTAAAGTGGTCACCCTGAAGAAACAGGTATGATTCAAAGTAGCTTCCTCAGAACACTGATCCCCCATCGCAATTTATGCCTTGTCAATTTCAAGAATTTTGAAGGAGAAGCTGAGCTATATGCCTAAAAAAATCTGCGAGATGTGCGCCTCATCTTTTGAGTGAAGAGCTCTTTTGAAAAAATGAAATAAAAAAATTAATGAGTCCAACACGGTTGAATTATTTTTCACGTTCCAAAAATTTTGGTATTCTAAGCATTACTGTAATTTTTTTTTTTTTAGCTCGGTCATGTGCCATTATTGCGATTTACATGCTGAGAACTTTTGTCAGACCCCTTG